AGTGGAACCACGACTTAACTGTGTACTCAAGGATGTACTCAAGTCCTAAACCTTGAAAAATGCCAATTAACATGCTTTCATTTTCTGTTCTGATTTTTTGTGTTTCATGAAACTTAAAGCAACAAACAATCCACATAACCATTAAGCATTTAGCTATGTATGCATCTATTAATTTTTATTATCAATTTGAACTAAATACTTATTTAAGGGGAGCAAAAGGTAAAAAAAAAAGCTACATAATTAAAAAAGAGGGGAATAATGCAAGAAAAGAGGAAAAGTGGGAGAAGTCACTTACAATTAATTACAGTATCATCACCAATACTTACAAAAAAAAATCCTAGATAAGAAATAGTTTATTTAGTGGGGAGGGAATAGCTCAGTGGCAGAGTGTGTGCTTAATATGCAGGAGGTCCTGGGTTCTATCCCCAGCATCTCCATTAAAAATCACTCACTCACTCAATCAATCAAATTACCACCACCCCCAAAAAGAAGGAGTTTATTTAAAAGACCTCATCCAGTTTAAATTTTTCAGATTCTACATACGTACTTGTCAAACATGTAATTTTACAGGCATAGTCATAAAATATATGCATGTAAACAAACAGCAGCCAAATAAAGTTTTTTTTTTCTTTCCAATTTCTTTCTGTTTCCCCACAAACAAAAGGAATTGGCTAAAGATTGGCAAGGTTCTTAATGTTTCTAAATTAATTCTCTGGTTTATGGAGAAAAGCAATACTGAAGTCTATAAAAAGAAAAAAAGCAATTGTAAATTAGGACCCATCACTTCATACTTCGTGTCCCAAGATATGTCAGTTATTATCTTGATTTGTTGTTGCTGTTTTCCTTCAGCAAAGACTCACCGCCCAGAAAGCTGAAGGTAGCTAGATGAACTCATTCTACTCCTAATTCATTTTATTGAGTCAGTATAGAAGACCGGTTAAGAGCACAGATTTAGGAGTTAGATATCCCTGAGTCTGTATCCTGACTCCACTGATTCTTAGCTGTGTGACTGTGGGCAAGTTACTAAACCTCTCTGAGATTTAGTGTCCTCATCTGTAAAATAAAAATAATAAACTGCCCCAAAGTCCTGGAAGAATAAGTGAGCTGAGTAGGAAAGTACTTAACAATGTCTCATCCAGTGCTAGCTGCCAAGTATTTTTCTATTTCCAAAATAATGATCTCATTATGCATATATGTGTGTGTGTGTGTGTGTGTGTGTGTGTGTGTGTGTGTATCTATATATCTCCTACTGTATGACAGTTTCCTTTGACATGGATTATTCCTAATTCTCACAGCTACACTGGCGGTGGTGGGGGAAGCAGTCACATTTTACAATTGGAGAAACTGTGGCTCAGAGAGGTAAAGTGGCCTGCCTGAGGTCACAGAGTGAATGGGTGACTGAGCAGGAGTGGAAACAGACCCAACAGATCAAAGCCTGTGTTCTTTCTAGCAGGTGGCTGTGGGACACTCTGGGACACATATTCCCGTGGCAGTGTGTGCCCCAGAGAGAGACAAAGAAAGAGAAGGCAAAGCAGCTTTGGAGGTCTCCAAAACTCCCGGTTTAGAATAAATCCCTCAATTATGCTTGAAGCTGGACAAGCTTTTGAAATCTCAACTGGACATTCTTTCCCCCATCAAGTTCCTTGAAATTTCCCTTTAAAGAGCATCTAGGAAAAGCCACTCTCATTAGCCAGGGTCTGGCTTTATTTCCCTAATAAACAGACCTTTGGACAAACAAAAGAGCCTCTTTGATTTTCAATCAATTCTTGAACATTTCAGCTGATTTTCTCCTATTTGGCTTGAAATTGTGATCTGGGAATGGCTGGTCCTGCAAATTGTCCTCCTATAAGGGAAGCCCCTTGAGGATCCTCAACTTGTTATTTTTAATCACTGTAATCTCCTTTTCAAAGGAGGCCATGGTCAGAAACAGAGCAGGCCTTTCAGAGCTTTCTAAAGCACAATTATTGCAAAGGGAGGGGTACTAGGGGGAAGAGGGCGGGAGAGTAGAGATGTGGTGAGAGAAAGAAGGCGGTCAATATAGTACTAACAACTTGGAAAAAGGCTGAATCATCATCTCAATTGGATCCTGGCTGCTGGGATATGTTTCAGTATTTTTTTTTAATAGTGACCATTTTATTCCAGCCTCAAATACCCAAAGGATATACTGGGGTGGGGGGCATGAAGAGCAGAAGCTATTTGGGGATGAACCGGAATACCGAGGACAAAGGTTTGAGGCAGGAAAACAAGCCATTGTTTCCAAGGATTGTGAGGGGCCCTAATTCAGGAAAAAATAAAAAAGCAAAGAGAACACCAGGGGAATGTTAATTTCCACAGCCCTAAGTCAATACTCAGAATAGAATGTATTAGATTTACTTCTAACTATTCTAAAAAAGGATAAGCCAACAGAAAATGTTACAAACTAGGCCAGTGCCCTTTTCTTCCTAACTTTGAGTGGCGGAATCAGGTTTGCTAATCATAGAGTATTTACTCAGAGGGCCTTAGCATGGTTCCTGCAAGATCTTTCTTTCAAGATCTCTTAGCCACTGGAAAGGAGATAAGATGATTGCTCATCAACAGCCTGAGTCAGGTGTCACAGTCCAAAGGACTAACATTTTAGGCTGGAGTAACTTGTAGGGTGAAAAGTCTAGTGTTCACCTCCCTACTTGTCCCAGTTTGCACCTACTGGACATAGATACTTAAGCAGTCATGAAACCTCTCTCTCTGTGTGAACTCCAGACACATCTCCCTCCCACTACTGGGGCCACTCACTGCCAGGGCTCAGCCAAACTGGGAGGATTCATGCGGAAAGAGAAACCCAGTAGTAGGACTCTTGGCGTGGGCTCCAGACTAGCCTAAATTCCCAAGAAAACGAATCCTCCTGGTTTTAAACTAGGAATAGTCTTAGGCAAGACTCCTAACATGGAGAAATTATTCATTCATTTAATCATTCAATATTTCATGAGGACCCAGATAACGCATTCTCTGGTAGACTGGACTGAAGGAGTGCGGAGAAAATCTACTTTTAAACACACACATACACACACACACTCACACACACACGCACACGCACACACGAAACAAAACAAATCTGACCAAGCACATCCTTCGAGTATTAAACCATTAGGGCCGTGTTGCCAACTCTAACATACAGTGTAGCTCAGGCATGCTCATCTTTATACATTGATTTATTCCCGACAACTGCCCAGAGTGGTTGGATAAACAGCCGTTTTCAGTAGCTGGGAAACAGGTTCAGAGAAATTAAAGGACTTGCACAAGGTCACACAGCTACTAAATCCGAGTCCGTCTGACTCCAGAGCCATCTCTTTTCCTGCCACGTGGAGCTGGGGTAGTTTTCCCAGGGAACCCAGATTCTCAGTTTGGGGGAGGGCTGAAGAGGCCAATGGGGTTACGCCCACTTCCCTCCGGTCCACGGAGAGGACTGGCTGGCTGCTTCCCAGCTCCGCCGAGAGGCTGAGCCCTTGTAGGTTCAGCTTGCTGGGCAGCCTCGCCAACCCGCCGCCGGCTCCCTCCGGGCTGGGCCGGGTGTTCTCCGCCCCCGTCCGTCTCCTCGGAGCATCCAGCATCCCGCCGACCCTGAGCGCTGGGTCAGAGGGGCTGCCCGCCAGGCGTTGAGGGAATCCATGTGCGGACGGCGCCCGGAAGCCCGCTTTGGGTAGCTCCAGGTGAAGAAAGTCGGGAACACCAACCAGGGAAAACCGAAGAAGCGAAGCGTTCGTTCTGGTCCTAGTCGCCTGTGTGGCCCGGGCGTCCGCTAACACTACCCGCCCCCAACTTTCTCTAGTGTTGCTCTCCCACCACTTCCTCCCGCGACGCTCTAGGAACCGGGAAAGCGGGAGTGGAAGGGTGACCTCCGTGGGCCCATTTGCCCCACCAGGTGCTCCAAAGCCCCTCTCTTCCCAGCTTCGCCCCAGCGTTGACTTATTAAGGGGCGGGGATGAAGGGACACGAGCCCTACCACTCCCTGCCTGCGGGGCCTCGGTGAAGCCAGGCAGGCTTCCTTCCCTGCCCGGTGGATGTCCTCGCTCCCGACTGGAGAACGGCAGCTGCTGCACGGGGGAAAGATATCTGGGGAGATGACCCAGCTGAAGAGAGGCAGCGGGACGGGGAAATGATGTCGGGGGTCTTCAGGTCTGTGCGGGTCGAGCTGCCTATCCTGCCTGGCAGGCGCTCGCTTGCTTTGGACATCCCCTGCCTGCGCTCGCGAAAGCCGGCTCTCAGCTGAGGAGCGCAGGAAACACACCTGGGGCACCGAGCCTCGAGGTTGCGGGAGCCAAGGTCCCCCGGCCTCCAGGGAGCAGGCCTTGGGAATTCGGGCTTCCCTTTCCTTCTCATAGGGTTCCCCTTTCCTCTCCGAAACTGCTCAGAGCTCCCGGTCCACTGGGAGCCTGTCCTAGAAATCCGAGGTCTTCTCCCTCGCCCGGGATCATCAGAGAATAATTTGGACTTCTTCCCAGGGATCCTTCTGAAAAGCTTCAGGCTCTTTCTCCCCTCCTCCCCTTGCGCTGGGACCAGTTAGGGGGAAAGCCTAAGTACCTTCTCCTAAAGGGATCTGTCCGGGGAAGCTGGAGTGACCGTCCCACTGGGTGCCAGTCAGTGAGAAGCTGATTTCCTCTCCTTCAGGGATGGGAGCGGGGAAAACCGGAGTCACCACCTTGCCTGGGACCCCACTGAGAGAAAACAGGGTCCCCTCCACTCCACAGACGGATCTAGAGAAAGCCGGGTTCCACTGCTCTCCTGGAGCTGGACGAGGGAGAAGCCGAGTTCCCTCCCAGCCAGGCCGGTGTGACGCGTCGCTCGCTACAGCCCACGCCCGGACCGCGCGTCGGAGGTGGGGCTGCCTGTCCTGGCTGTGGCCCCGCGATGGCCCAGAGGCCGGCGTCGGGGCGTAAAGGGCTGGAGGGCAGGCCAGGACAGGAACGGGCCTTTCGGG